TCGTCGTTCTGTCACTGGTTTTTATTATTTTTTTATTGGGAGACTCTCTCATCTCTTAGTGCATAAAGAAATAGTATGTTATCTCTTGATCCAGTACAAAGGTGAAGTACCATGCTCTTGCTGACACTACCCAGGAGCATCTTTGGCTCTTAGAAGATTTAGGTGTCTCTCATTCTAGTGCTACTATTCTTTATTGTGACAATCGGAGTACGATCTAGATTTCTCACAATAATTTTTTCCATCACCACACTAAATATATTGAGATTGATTGTCATTTTGTGCGATAACATAGGGCTCAAGGCACCTTTTTTTTTGGTTTTTCATCTGATCAGAATTACTGACATTTTCACCAAGGCACATCCGCGGGCTGATTTCATGATTTGGTTTCCAAACTATAGGTGATAACTATATCTCTTTGAGTTTGAGGGGAGATGTTAATGTATATAATCATAATATGTTTATACCACATTGATTAGACTAGCAAATATCACTACTTTTTTATATTATAAATACACCTCATCATATATATTATAGATCACACCAAAGTAATTTACAATTGATATTCACTTTTTATTATCTTATTTCACAACAATTATTAGACTAGGTGTGAGCCACAATGATGAGACCAAACTTTGAATCCAACAATTATAATAAATTAGATTCTCGAATTAAATCCAAATAACATTTACCTTTACTCAAATCTTGCATCTTGTGAACCAACTATTTAAGCTAGGAGCAGTGCAATCTTTATGAGAGTCAAAGGGCGAAGTCGAAACTTAGTTTTTGCCGATGTTTGATGTCACATGCACACTAATGGTCTATTTGTTTTGATGGAAAATGGGGTGGGTGAAAAAAAGTTTCATTGTTTGGCATGGAAAGAAAAAAATGGTGGAAAGAAAAATTGAAGGGAAGGCTTTTCCTTCCTACCCACAATTTGTTTTTCCCCCAAAAATGGGCAAAAAATGAAAAGAAAACTGAAAAATTTGACTATTGAATAGTTATTTTACTTTTTTGCCCTTTCATACATTCTATAATAAAACCCATTTCTCTTCTATAAACAAAATCCACTACTTTATAGACCATGGGCAACGACATAGACGAACTCGATTGGCAAAACCAACAGTGTTCCGACTGGATTTTCGGCTACTTCAAACCAAAGTTGCCATACTCCGGTAAAGTCCAACTATTTTCCTCCATTTTATTGTTATCTCTCTCTCTCTCTCTCTCTCTCTCTCTCTCTCTCTCTCTCTCTCTCTCTTTCTCTCTCCATATATGACGTAGCAGTAGCTTATGAAGAAATAGGACACCGTTTGCTTCTTCAAATAAATAAATAACACACTCGAATCCATGAGTGGATCTCAGAAAGAAAATTCTTCATTGAATGAAAGTTAACCTTACAATGAAAAGAAATAGCCTTTATATAGGCTGTCAAACCTAATTCGACTAGAACTAAGAAATAGCCTTTATATAGGCTATAAAACCTAATTTGACTAGAAATATAAGTCTAGGAAAGAAATAACTAAAATAAGGAAAAATAAAGAAACAACTAAAATAAAGAAAAATACTAAAAATTCCAAAAATAAACAAATCGTAATTAAAAGCATAAATCAAAAGCCCTAAACTTCAATAGGAATCTATCCTACATCAGTCTCCCCTGTTGGAAAAGAACTCGACCTCGAGTTAATTAATTGAGAAGATGACACATCAAGAGGATGATATTCAAACAAATCAGCAATATTGAAAGTAGGAGAGATGGCCATATTTGTAGGAAGGTCCACGACATAGGCATTATCATTGATTTTTTGCAGAATCTGAAAAGGACCATAATTTTTGTCCCGCAGCTTGTTGTACGTGCCCACTGGCAGCCGCCCTTTGCGCAAATAAACCATCATTAGATCCCCCTCCTGAAATACTTGAACCGGTCTCTTTTTATCAACAACAGCCTTGTATTTGGCATTAGATGCCTCCAAATTTTTTCGCACTTTTCTTGAATAGCCTTGATACGATCCACCATATTTTCTGCTGAAATACTCAAATCAGGAAGTTTTGGCAGAGGAACCAACTCTAAAGCATGGCGTGGAGGACAACAGTAAACAATTTGGAATAGGGTCTTCCTAGTAGATCGATTGAGCATACTATTATAAGCAAATTCAGCCTGTGCAAGAGCAAGATCCCACTGTTTTGGCTTCTCTCCAGAAATACAGCGAATTAAATTCCCAAGAGTGCGATTCACCACTTCCGTTTGATCATCGAACTGAGGATGACTCGTGCTATTAAAATTCAGGGATGTGTCAAATCGCCTCCACAAAGTCCGCCAAAAATGACTCAAGAATTTGGTGTCCCTATCTAAAGTGATGGATTTGGGAACCCCATGCAAACAAACAACCTCTTTGAAAAACAAATTTGCCACGTGCACTGCATCCGAGGTCTTTTTGCAAGCAATAAAGTGAGCCATTTTGGAATGCCTATCAACCATCACAAAGACTGAATCAAATTTGCGTTGGGTTCATAGAATGCCCAAGACAAAGTCCATGGAAAGAGCCTCCCAAGGTACTGCTAGGATGGGCAAAGGCATGTACATACCCGTATTTTGAAATTGGCCTTTGGCAACCTGATAGATGTGGCATCTTTTAACATGAATACCAATGTCTCGTTTCAGTTAGGGCCAATAATACCTCTCCTCTACAAGAGCTACTGTTTTGTCATGACCCAAGTGTCTGCCCAGGCCTCCACCATGTAATTCATGAATTATCTAATCTCGTAGTGAACTCCTCGGGATGCACAATTGGTTGCCTCAAAACAGATAACGCTCTTGAATATGCATTCCGTCAATGGAAGGTTTCGACTGACATTTTGTCCAAATATCCTGAAAATCTTCATAGTCTACATATAGCTCCTTGAGAAAGTCAAACCCAATCACTTCAGTCCGCATGGTGACTAGCAACAACGCCCTCCTGCTTAGAACATCAGCTACCCGATTTAATTGTACCGCCTTATGCTTCAAAGTGAAAGTGAAGCATTGTATAAACGAAATCCTGCAGGCATGCATCCAGTTGACATTATTCTGGCTATTGATAAATTTCTGCGCTAGGTGATCACTAAATAAGAAAAACTCCCTCTATATTAGATAGTGTTCCCAAACCTCCAAGGTGCGAAAAACAACATACAATTCCAGCTCATAAGTAGACCACTTCTGGCAAGCTTCACTGAGCTTCTCGCTATAAAACACAACCGGTCTGCCTTCTTACGAAAGTACAACATCAATGCTAACAATAAAGGCATCGCACTCTACTTGAAACAGCTTGTCAAAATTTGGCAGTGCTAAAACTAGTGTAGCCGATAATTCATCCTTGATCAGCACAAAACTCTGTTCTACTTCTTCTCCCCAATGGAATTTTCCCTCCTTCATACATTCAGTAATTGGCATGACTATCCAGTTAAAATCTCTGACCATGAAACGTTGCCAGACCATGAAAACTACGAACCTCGCCCACTGTTTGTGAAGTTGGTCACTCCCGAATGGCACAAATATTTTCTTCATCAACTTTAATCCCATTAGCACTTATCCCAAATCCCAAAAATAACAAACTGCTAGTCATAAACCTGCACTTCTTTAAATTAACATATAACTTATTTTGTTGCAAAACTGTAAGTACTTTCCTCAAGTGTGTAAAATGATCAGATTCGTTCTGGCTAAATATTAATATATCATCAAAGTACACCACAACAAACTTTCTAGTGAATGGTTTTAATACCACGTTGATGAGCCGCATGAAAGTACTAGGCGTAGTGGTAAAGCCAAACGACATTACTAATCATTCATACAACCCTCCTTTGGTCTTAAAAGCAGTCTTCCATTCATCTCCATTCCTAATCCAAATCTGATGGTACCCGTTCCACAAGTCAATTTTCAAAAAGGCTTTGGATCCGGCCAACATATCCAACATATCTTCCAATCGAGGAATAGGGAACCTATATTTAATGGTGATCTTGTTAATTGCTCGGTTGTTGATGCACATGCACCAATTGCCATCCTTCTTTGGAACTAACAGGGCTAGTACCGCACAAGGACTCATGCTCTCCTGCACTAATCCCTTCTTAATCACGTCTACCAACTTTTCTAGAATCTGACTTTCCTTGTGACTCATCCAGTAGTGGTCGATTAGGCAAACTGGCTCCCGGCGTGAGATCAATCTAATGTTATATGTCCCGCATAGGAGGCAACCCATTTGGTAGCTCTGATTACATAATTTCTTGAAATTCCTTTAGCAAAGGTTTAAGCATGGATGGAATTTTCATGGACTCCCTACTGACTTCTTCCCCAACTAACACAACAAAAATCTCTCCAAATTCCTTAGTTTCCTCTATGAATTCACCCTAATTCATCAGAAATATTGTCTTGCTGTTCGAATTTGGTTCAATAATTGAAAATTCCTCTTTTATGGGCCCCAAAATGATCTTTAGGACTCCCTTCATGAAAACATATACGTTATCATGGCCCCTGTATGTAGCATTCAGATCAAACTGCCATGGTCGTCGCAAAATCATATGGCACGCATCCATCTCCACCACGTCACACACAATCTCATCTGCATAATTCTTCCCAATTGAAAAATTAATGCGGCGGATTTTAGTTACCTTCACTTCAGCACCCCCGTTTAATCCAGCCAATCTTATATGGTGAAGGATGTTTCTCAGTTTGTAAGCCCAACTTAGTAACCATTGCTTTCAACACTATATTTTCATTGCTGCCATTATCAATAATGATATCACAAACCTTTTTGTTCACAGTACACCTAGTTCGGAATATATTATGTCGTTGAGATGGTTCTTCTCACCTTGGCGCTAGCAGAAGTCATTGAACCACCAGAGAGTGTGACATTAGTTCGCCTTCGTCGCCCTCGTTACCTCTTCCTTGTCATAAGTATAGGCCACTTCATTCTCGTCCTTCTTTGTCTCGGATTTGCCATCTTCTTCTGGCTCCACTAAGTTAACAGTACCCTTTTTAGGACACTGGTTGGAACAGTGCCCTGGCTGTCTGCATCTATAGCATTTATCAGACCCCGGACAAGCATAAGGATTACGAGGTGCGGAATAGCGTTGGCTGGCTTTGTTGGACCTCTATCGCTACTTGTCCCGCGAGTGGTGTTAGACAAAGGTGGCTGAGTTATTGGGGCTTTTCCTTTGTTTACTGCAACACGATTAGGATAAAAGGAATTTCTTGCTACGACCGTAGACTTCAATCTGTCTAATTGAGTTTCTGCCTTAATAGCCAATGCAACGGCTTTGGTCAAGGTGTAGACTATTTGCATCGCAACTCAATCTTGTATAGTCCAACACAGCCCCCCCAACAAATCTAGCAACCTGTGGAATTCCTCTAGGTACGCCTCAACTGTTCTACTTCCCTGTCTACAATCCTGATATTGTTGAAACATAATCTGCTCATAATCTGGAGGCAAATACTTGGATCGTAACAATCATCTCATCTTAGCCCATGTTTGATCCATCCCTTTTCCTTGTCGCATCCGTGTAGTTTGCAATTGCTCCCACCAAGCAGAAGCTCCACCCAATAGTCTGTACGTGACTAATTTCACTTTTTTTTATCTTTAGGAATATCTATATAATCGAAAAACCTCTCGACTAATACCAACCAGTCAAGAAACCCCTCGATCTGAAGTTGACCATTAAAACTGGGCAGATCCATCTTCATACGAAAGGTCTGTCGATCCTGTTCCCCTTGGTAACCCTTCCAATTATTCCGGATTATGGCTTCAGCATCTTCCTCATCCTCACTCAGGTTATCCTCATAGGCTAGCTGCCTACATGGAATCTCTGGATGACGTTCATGAAAAACTTTAGCCCTCTCTTGGTAAGGTTGACGACCCGTAGGATCGTCGCCCTGCTGATTTTTCCCTACTGTCAGCTTAGCAAGAGTCGGTTGGACCTCCCACAACACTTGTTGGGTCTCACGTTGCGCCTGCTAGGTCTCACGCTGGAAAGTTCTGAATTCAGCCCCTGTAACCATATCTTCCTCATGGTCACCACAGTCAAGGACTTCGCTTTCGTTCCGTGCGTTCACCATCTAAACAGGACTAAGCCTGCTCTCATACCAATTGACGTAGCAGTAGCTTATGAAGAAGTAGGACACCACTTGCTTCTTGAAAATAAATAAATAAATAAATAACACACTCTAATCCACGAGCTCAGAGAATAGAATCTTAGAAAGAAAATTCTTTATTGAATGAAAGTTAACCTTACAATAAAAAGAAATAGCCTTTATATAGGCTGCAAAACCTAATTCGACTAGAACTAAGAAATAGTCTTTATATAGGCTACAAAACCTAATTCGACTAGCAATATAACTCTAGGAAAGAAATAATTAAAATAAGGAAAAATAAAGAAATAACTAAAATAAAGAAAAATACTAAAAATTCCAAAAATAAACAAATCCTAATTAAAAGCATAAATCAAAAGCCTTAAACTTCAGCAGCAATCTGTCCTATATATATATACTAGTAATTACCCGTGCCTAAAGGCACTGTGTACCACAATAAAATCACCGTAATAAAAAGTTAAATCCACAAAAATTAGCAAACGAAAAAAAAAAATTATAGCACTCACAAATACTACCATAGCATCAAATTGACTATCACGTCAATATTTTCAACCCTATTAAATTCTCACATATTAACCCAATACTCACAAACAATGAAAATAGAACATTGCGCCTTAAATGGAAATACATTACAATGAAAATTAAAAGCCAAATTTACGCTAGATTGATAGGATTAGCGCAACTACCACCTCAACTTGCACTTCGTTCATCTTAGCGTCCATTACTTTTCAATCTTGGAGGAAAACAATTAACTTGAATCGTGGAAATGAGCAATAGATGAGGTGGCGATAATGAAAGAGAAAATCAGCTAAGATAACCTCTCCTTATGGTTATCCAACCCACCCAAAAGTAGCATGAGAGTAGTGACTTCTGCAGCTTAATTGATGGCCCAAAAAAATCCATTGGACAGTGAAAACAAACCATGTCTTCATAAAGATATGAGAGGAGATTCTACCGATCCACTCCTCTATTAGTTATACTTTCAAACAAAAATTAGGCACCTAATATTAAGGATTTGATGAGATTGTGTGTTGGAAAAATTAAATAAGTTATATATTTTCATATCTTTTTTTTATTATTTCATTCAATGTTAATTTAGGTCTATCCTTACTTCTAGTACCATTAAGTGAAATTTTCTCACTAAATATAAACTGGAAAAGGAACCTACAAATACACACCCCTATTCTGGTGAAAAATCTGGCAGCACATATTTGATATTTTAACTACCATCCTATTTTCAAGAGCAAACCAAGTAATCAACATCCTTATTTGAACTGATTCTTTTTTAAAAAAAACAGAAATAACAGTGACATCAAATATTTGGTAGGCTTGAGATGTAAAGCAAACCAAAGAAGATTAGGTTTTGTACCCAACCTTGTAACAACCAAAAAAAAACCATAATGCAATAAATGACACCTGATATGTAGAGATAAAACTGACCATAGAGAAGTATTCTTCAATTTGAGATTTAACCTATTTCAAAAAAAAAAGTTATCAGATCATATGTACAATATCAAGATCTTGCATAACATACAATTCCTTTACTTGAACATAGGAAAGAGCATAGACTATTTTCCAAAAAAAAAAATAGCTCTATTTTTCCAGAAAATTAATATCGAAATAAACATCAAAACTTCGAACCCAATTATTATTTCAAAAATTCGAAATGCAATGCTTGCAAAAAAAAAAAAAAACAAAACCATAAGAGAGCCTAGAGACCGAAAATAATGTACATAAATCAAAGTTGAGAAATAAAAAAAAAAAATCAATGAATCAAACAATCCAAGTGGGTGTGTTTTGTGTTAGCAGAGACTGGAGGTGTATTTTGTGTGTGTTGTGAGGGATTTTGAGTGTGAGGGGTTACAAAATAGAAAGATGTTGGGTGTGGGTGGATGTGTGCGTTGTGTGTGTGTCTTGGGAAGGGGGGGTAAACAGAGAGAGGGTATACCTTGTCATTGGTGGATCGTTCGTCATTGGTGATAGCTTGCTTCATCATCATTGGTCTGGGTAGAGTGAGAAAAGATGGCGAAGAGAGATTCGAGAGATGTAGGACAGAGGAAGAGAGTTGGCAAATAGAAGAGAAGAGTGACGAAAAAGAGTGAGAGTTTACTGATTTTTGGGGAGGGTGACTAAGAGCATCTCCGTCCCACACTTAAATTTAAATTAAAATTTGAATAAAATTTGATTTGATATAAAGAATTTAAAGAAAAAGAGACCTAAATTTAAATGAGGGTAGACCTAAATTTAAATGAGAGTAAGGATGACAATTGAATCTTTAAAAGATGGTGAAATCTAACAATTAAAGATTTGTATAAAAATTTGAGTCTGCCTTGATTTGAGTAAAATAATTAATTTATCTTGATTTGGTATAAATTCGAGTCCATAGTTGGAGCAAATTTTTTAAACTTTTTTACTCAAATTCAAATGATTGGAAATACCTAACAAAGGTCGGGTATTTGGAGGATGGATTTTAGTGGTCGTGAGAAAGATGAGAGAGTGAGAGGGGGAGATAGAAGAGTTTAAGGGGAGACTGAGATTTGGAGCAAAATTAGGGCAAGAATTGTGGGTGAAAAATTAGTGCTAATATCCTCTTGGAAATAAATCCTTAAAGCGATAAGTTGGAGGGCTTCAAAAGGAAGACATAGCAGTATTTTGAATTCACCTCCTCCAATTAGGAAAGGAATGATTTTTTGAACCTATATAAGTACCAACAAAGAGAATAAGTGAGAGATTAGAGTGAGTATTTGAAAATTTGTAGATTGGGAAATAAATTATAGATGAAGAGAATGTGATTTTTTTTTTGATAAATCATGTGATTGAGGGCGTGATTTTGGGGGAATTAAAAATAGAATTTGTGTTGTGTGGGATTTTTTTTTCATAAATGAATATCGTTCGTTAGATCAAAAATTTTGAGATGATCTGAGACGTCAATAGCTCGAGACAGTTTAGGATAACGTCGACCGTGGGATGATGCCTTTTTTGGGCATGAAACGATCTCCACCGCTCTTTCTCTCTAAAATTCAAATTTGTTGTACTTATATATATATATATATATATATATGGTAAGGTATCTTTACCCATTCTTAGCAAGAGATTGTATAAAGCTCTTTGGGTCGGATGGTTTATGCCTTCAGCTGGTTCCTTGAAATTGAATTCTGATGGAGCTTTTAGAGGTAATCCAAGTTAGGCGGGAGGGGGGTGCGGTGGTCAGGAATGAATGGGGGAGTTTTGGCTGCTTCATTCTTTTAGGGAGTGCTCTAATATGGTTGTTTTTTTTTTAGCTGTGTTGGAGTTTTGTGTTTCTGGTTGTCAAGTAGTGGTGTCAGGCTGCTATGCTATTTTGCTGTGCTACTAGAAACTATGGTGTTTTTGTTGGATTTATTTTCTACTGCTAGGTGGAAGTTCCATTTGGCTTTTTTAAGTTTGTTTGGTTTATGTTGTAAGGGAAGGCAGTTTGTTGCCTTTTTTTTTGCTACTTGTAATCTCTATTTTGTTCATAAATAAAATTTTTTCTTTTTGTTAAAATAAAAAATATTTTTTTACTAACACACACAAAAAATACACAAAATGATTTCATATATTAAAGGGCAGAATTGTAAAATTGAGTATATATGGTTTTCTTTTCCCTTAATTTTCTATTTAATACCAAACGATGGAAAATGTAGCATTTTTATTTTTCATCACTCCTACCAAACAAAATGGAAAAAAAATAACTTTCTTCTCTTCATAGATATAAAGTTTATTCTTTTCATTTTTCTTTGCTTCATTTTTTCCGTCCTTCGTACCAAACGGACTGTAAAGCATGGGGATCTCTATTATAAACACATGTGGGCTGATTTTAGCATTAGTTTCAAGGTGTTTTCCGAGTAAAATTCTGCTAATAATATAATATATCAATGCAAGTTGTTTATGATAACCACAATGTGAAACCATGACCAAGCTCTCTCCCAGAATTCGATCTAAAGTAGCACATTTAGGAAAGAAATATCTCTGTGTGCGAGTGTGCTTGTGTTTGGGGGTGGGGGTGGGGGTGCTTCTGAGGGAGCGGACTTAAAAAAGAGATGCGAGATGTTAAAGTACAACCACAATGTCACTTTCACTATTTTTTTTCTTACGATCTTTGTATCACATCAATTTTGACTCTAGATTAGTGAGTTTCATTACATTATAAAAACTTTAATAAGTGAGGTTGTGATGGTATATGAAGATGGTGTGAAAATTATTGTTGAAATTAAAAGGGTTGGACTCGTAATTGTTGAAGAGAGGGACTATGAAGTTGTACGGGGTCTGAACCATCTTAATTTCCTTAGTGTACATGGTCCACATGCAAGCATGTGGGCATTGCAATAATGCTTATATTCTCAAGCCACATGACTAGCAAAATCCGTCAAAAAAAAAGAAGCACAAAAGGCATAAAGATTCAAACTACACTGAATAAACCATGCAGTTGTAGTACATACAAACCATGTGACACAGCAAAAATTTAAATTTGACCCATCTACCGGCTTTGTTTGACCAATTTAATAGAGTAGCAGTTGTGTGATAATCCTCAATAGAGAGTACTTGGATGTTTTAGAATATCCAACTAATTTTTTCATACATAACTCTCTCATCTTCGATGCACCAGATATCATCGATTGGAATAAATCCCCGATATTGAATCTAACGAAGAGACTTAAATTCAAGATTTCTAATAAGCTGTTCCAAAAGAGTAAATAGCATTTCACATTCCAAAAACTCAAAGATCCATTGCACCACAGGTCGGGTTGCCAAGTGAACGACCCTTTAGTTTAGCAGGTAAGTTCGCGGGTCATTTTCTTTCACCTGCTTAGCCCCGATAAGTTGATTTGTTTGACGCTCACTCACAAAAGAGTTGAGCACAACTATGACCCGTTTAAAGACCCAATGAGTAATCCGTTAAAGATCCATTAAGGCCAACCCGTTAGACACACCGCAAGTCGTCCTTC